AAAATAAGAAAGCGAGCTTGCTTCAATTGTCAGTGGTTTTCTGATCTTTGAGGAAATTGCTGGTTATTTGCCATTTCAATGCTTTCTTCTCCTTCCAGGTACTAGCCAAGCGAACGGATCTAATGGGCACCTGGGCCAGCGATTGGCAGACGGAGTATGACAAAATGAAGGAGCCGATTTTTGTTGAGAAAGGAATCAAAATTATTCTCAAGGTAAGGCTTTTCTTTTTCAATCCTGTACGTTCGAACTGGGCTCTTTCCTATCCATTGCTCAATTATGGTATTCCGTTTCAGGAGAAGAAACGTGGATTTTTGGGAATTGGTTCAACCGAAGGAAAGATTATAACCTTCGACAATGCCGAGGTATGTTGTTTGTAAGCCCTAATTTTAGTTGATTCAGGAAAGTTCATTTGAGTAATCAGACCTCCATCTAAGGTTGTAGTTGTATTTGGATGGGTGTTCGGTCTACTTCTGATGCCCTGATTCAACACTTGCTGTAAATGGCGTTTTCCTCCAGACAAAGGAGCCAGGTTCTGAATAGTTGACCCCAAAAGAACAGGGTACCTGTTGGGGTGCCCTGAAGGGCACCTTTTGTCCCCGCTCTAATTTTGCTGCCTTTACTGCCTCTTAGTAGACTACTGAACTTTGGTTCGATTTTTCTGATATAACCGAGTGGATTTTAGGCCTTCCTTAGCTACGATGCTATTTCCGCCTAGATCAGTGTTCATCAAGCCCGCCTTCTCCCATTATGCTTCAGGAGAGTGCTTCAGGAGAGACAACAAATGTCTTGTTCCTTCATAATCAAAAGGGGAGGAGCATGTATACGCGTGCGTTTGCGCTGCGCATTATGCCAACCAACTTGTCCTTTGGATGCCTTTTTATGAGCTTTTAGCGGTTTCATCGGAGACTGCAGTAGCACGCCTCTTCGTCCTCCATAACTGATCAACAAATAACCGAGTTCCTGAACAACTCTGAATTAAGTGCGGGATCTCTAGCCCGAACGGCATGACGCGTTCGGGTTGCAACCGATTGCGCGCACTGAAGGGTATAATTTGGTTCTCCGGTGCAGTTACGGTAGTAGCCGCGGGCCGTGGGAATTCAGGTACAAAGGGCCGTCATCCTCCTGAAGTGAATGCTAATTAAATGGGACAAGGGTATGTAGGAGGAGCTCTAAAGTCCTTTCAATT